TTAGTCTTTTTAATCTTTCGTAGTATTAAAGATTTCTCAAGTTTAAAACCCAATTTGTTGCTTTACGTTGAACAAATTTAACCAAAGCTACGTCAGTTTTTAAATACGGGGCCGAAACAGACACTTAATATTTAAGGTGTGATCTTATAAATACTTCATATAATTTATAATTAATAATGGTGAATTTCTTTTTAAGCATATCAAGAATTTGTAGAGATTTAGAGACAGCTGATTAAATATGTGTGCTTCACTTGAATTTAGATGTGAAAATGACTTCTAAATTGCGCTCTTTTGTAGAGCTTCTAAGGCTTTTAGGCTCCTAGGCTTCATTTATACTTTGGTTATTTTGCGAAAAGTAACTGTACTCAGAATTGGTTTTACCATAATGAATAACAAAGTATTTTGAAATATTTAATTTAAGCAACTAAATAATTGACCACTTGTATACTAAGCGTAGACGATCTTGCAGATCAACAAAATTGGTCTGCGATAAAGTTTTAGAAAAAAGTTTAGTATCGCCTGCAAATTTTTAGCTAACATATTTTTTTTTATGAAAAAATCAATATGATTATTTTAGCATCAAAAAATCGCGCCACATTTATTCATGCATGATGATATTATTTTAACATAACAAAAAATTTAACAGTGTTTTAATTAGATGATAGCCGCTAATTACTGCATACAAATTTACGCTAGTTGTGCTGATTCCTGTTATCACCACATAAAGTCAATTCAAAAAATACAATGCAACTTTAACTTCACTGCTTACATATACGAAATCTTTAAGCATGCTCATATTACCAAGGTGTTACCCTAATCTACAAGGTGCTCATATTACCCTAATCTATCATATATAAAATGATTAAATTACAAGTATTTTATGTAAAGATAAAAATAAACTAAATGAAATTATGAAACAATATTTTACTATCAAGTAAATATATATATAAAATGGTTACAATTGGTCTGTTTTGAAATTTAAAACATTGGTATGAAAGTTTGACTATTTCAAACTGCTCATTCATTAGGTTAGTGCAAAAAAGAACGACGTAGTGCTTTTTTTATTTCATATTATATTAGTGCTTCGATAATATAAAATCTTTATTAAAAAATCTTTTTTTCATATTTTATGAAAATAAAAAAAAAAGTTATTATTTGTTTTGCCCCGAACTCTTGGACGAGCGTTATTTTATACGCTCGTTATAAGCTGAACGAGCGTTGTTTATCGCGCCTGGAACGTTTCAAAATACCATTTACGGGCGCGTTTCACGAGCGGAGCGCGATCGCGCTCGATTCATCACAAGCCCTGGTCTTCTCCATAACCTTGTTTCATATGGTGTATCTGGGAAATTTTTGAGATTATCAAATTGTTTTTTTAAAGGTCAAAACTCTTCTTTAATTCTAGTAATTTCTGGGGTACCTCAAGGTTTTATCCTTGGTCCTGTTTTATTACTTATCTACATAAATGATCTTCCTGACAACCTTTTATCTAAAGTAGCTCTTTTTTCTGATGACTCAACTTAATAGTAATGTCTTGACAAAAATTCTTCTCTTTTTTGCTTAGAACAGACAGCCCATCTTGTATCTGATCTCACTTCTGTAACTGATTGGGGTTTACAGTGGCTTGTAAATTTAAATTCCAACAAAACTCAGTTATTTACCTCAAATAGCTATTGCGGTACTGTTGACACTCCTATTTTAATGAATGGCAACCCTCTCACTGATTCCTCTTCTTTACGTCTTCTTGGATTATCATTTACTACTGACCTTTCATGGAAACCATATGTACAATGGATTGCTAAATTAGCATATGCTAAGCTTGCTTCTCTTTATCGTGTTCATCATTTTCTATTTCCTGATTCCATTCTCTACCTCTATAAATTTCTTATTCGTCCCTGTATGACATACTATTGTCATATTTGGGATGGTTTTTCCTATGATGCTCTTTCTCTTCAAGATAAGGTCCAAAAACACATTGTAAACAGAGTTGAACAAAGTCAATCTGCTAAGCTTGAGCCTCTTTCCCATCGTCATAAAGTTGCATCTCTATTTCTTTTTTATAAATACTATAGCGGTTGCTGCTCAAAGGAGCTTTTATCTCTAGTTCCATCAACCAAAAAGCATTCGTGCTTGACTTGTCATATATCAAAGTCTCATTCTTTTACTATATCTGTCTCCTTTTAGTTTTCTGTCAACCAATTCCTTGCTTCATAACTCTACTCTTTTTTTCTAGCCACTCCCAACTTGATAGTGGTTGCTTGCAGCATTGTTGGGAGTAAAAAAGAATTAAAAAAATATAGATAACAATGCCTAAATTGGTTACTTTTAAAGCTTTTGCCTGTAAATAAAGTCAAAATAAAAATTTATTCAAAAAATTCTAGGTAATGCATAAAGTTTAGTTTATTTATTATTTAATTGTTATAATAATGCAGGATAAAAATATTAAAATGCAATTGGTTGGAAAATTGGTAAAAGTGGCCAATGCCGATACTGATTGTGCAAAAAATGGCAGATGAAGCTGATGCCGATTAATCGGTACATCACTAATACATATATCGTTATAGTGCATAAAAAAGGCATAACATCATACATAAATATCATAATGGTACTAAAAGATTAAAGATTTTTCTTATAATTTCTTTAAATGAGTAATTGTTTTTACTCAGTATTTGGTCAGCTTTACGTGAAGAAAAACTTTAGCAGTTTTGCTTGAATTTTTATTCACATAAAGTTAAGCAATTTAACCAGTAATTGCTCAGCTGTACACGAATAAAAATTTAACCAAAATTGTTTAAGTTTTTATTCACGGAAAGCTGACAAATTACTGAGTAAAAGCAATTGCTCATTTTATTCACCCGGCCTCATTTTTTGTCATTTTTTAATATTTAAACAAGTCCAATGAAACCATTTAAGTGGGAAGATAAAAGAAATGACGATTACATAAAAAAATTTGCATGACAATTTCATTTGATATTTGCTCTATTTACAAATGTAACAACTTAAGAAAAAACAAAGAAAATTTTATTTTAATAACCTAACCTTTCCATCAAAAATGTTCAGTAAAAAAAAAAAAAAAGATGTTATAAGTGCAAAAAAAAAAAAAAAAAAAAAAATTATAAAATAAACATATATAGAGCACAAATATTTATTTAGGCATTTTCTCATAACAAACAATAACAAAAATAATTACCCAATTTTAAAAAAATAATAAAAAACAAAACAAAAAATAATTAGCTAAATATTAGTACTTGTTAAATTTTATTTTTTATTAGCACCATTTTTTATATTTAAAATTTTGTTTGTTTGCTTTATTATAATGATTGATTCAGGGCTGTGGAGTTGAAGTCGGAGAGTTGCGACAATTTTAGCGGAGTCGGAATTGCTAAAAAATATCGCGACTCCCACTTCAATAGTAAAATTTCTTGGTATTGCACGTGCATGTACAAAACATTTAATTAACCTTATGTTTATACTAAACCTCAAAGAATGTTTTATAAATGTGTCAAAAAAAAAAATTTTCAACTTATCGCGCAATAATTTTTAAAGAATTTAAAGAATTTTTCAAAAATTTTGCTTTGGAGTTGGAGTAGGAGTTGTACTCAAAATATTTTAACAACTGGAGTCGGAGTCGTTACTTTTTTTTTACGACTCCACACCCTGGATTGATTTTATCAAAAAAATGAAAAAGCATTATCACAAATTTTAAAAAACATCTTATAAAGAGTTTCTTTTTTATAATTAAAAACAAAAAAAAACTTCTTTTATGGAAATAACTCTATTATTATTTTTTTTGCTTGAATTTACGCTTGAAGCAATATAGCTCTCGGAATGTCTTTGTTTATATTTTTAAGTTTTATTTTACAAAAAATAGTAGTTTAGAATAATAAAAAATTATATTTTTAATAGTTACATCAGCTTTCTATAAATACCAGATAGTGCAATATCAAAAAAGTGAAAACAGAAATTTTCTTACAATTAAGAAAGAATTTTGATTTAAAAAATTATTTAAATCTAAAAAAAAGTTTTTTTTTTCTTGGGTTTTCTACTTCTTTTTATATTTTTTAAAAAAAATTAAATTCTAAATTGAAACGTTATAAGTTATAAATTTAAACATGTTATAACTAATAACATTGCATCAAAAATATTTAAAAAACATACATTTAAAGTTTTTGTCTTAAGGCAAGTGAAGGTGCAACGGTATATATATATTTTTAATAAATGATACTTAAAAACTTAAATCTTTGTTTGTCACAAAAAAAAAACCACTGGTAAAGTAATTAACTTGAATTTTTTCCTTTGCAACAAGTAATATTTTTGTTTGTTAATAACTTTTTAAAAGTAAAAAATCATATTTGTGATGAAAGTTTGACTATATCACACGGAGAAGCATTTTCAGCATAAATTGCTTTTTGCGCAATGTATTCTGCGCATTCAGCCAAATAAGAAAAACTGTTATTAAATCGTATAATGCAAGTCCCACAAGGCAACTTGCGACATTTATAATGAGGTTGTTAAGACATTTCATTCCCGAATTTTTTTACATTTTTCTTTGGTTTCTATATTAACAAAATTATCCAATATATTTGGTATTCTATATTAACAAAATTATCCAATATATTTGGTATTCTATATTAACAAAATTATCCAATATATTTGGTATTCTATATTAACAAAATTATCTTTATATTTTAATTTTGATAAACGAGTAGTTAAAAAAAGCAAGAACCTTGATATCTTCTTATCCTTGATATCTTCTTATCCTTGACATCTTCTATATTATCCTTGATATCCTCTATCTTATCCATGACATCTTCTATGTTATCCTTGCAAATGATGTTCAAGCAATCTTTTTTAATTGAAATAATTGTTTTTGACATGAACTTAATGTTTATGAAGTTTTTTGTTGTTTTTTATTTTTATTTGTTTCTCTGTATTAAAGTGGTGCTATATTAAAAACTTTTTTTTATATTTAAACTTTAAACATTTTTAATCATTTTTAGGGCTGCTCCATAGTAACTGTAAAGTTCTTTCAGATCTTGGTTTGGACCATGTTTTTAACACTGAAAAAACTGAAAAAGTTTGTTTTAACAACAATCAACACGATTATTATTATTTAAATTATTTAAAGAAATATTACAAAAATCTTCATTCAATTAAGCCTACATTCTCGTATACTGCGTTAATGGTTGCTCACGACTCAGGTGGAATTCGAATTCAAGCAATAGATAAAGATTTATCAGAATTCGTACAAGCCATGTCTGAACTCGAAAACACGTTGACTGTCATTTTTTCTGACCATGGAAATGCTTATACAGACTTTGTTTATCATGAAATTGACGGACGCTACGAGATGTTTCATCCATTTATGTTTATGATAATACCAAAAGGTATTAAAAATTTCTTTGACGCCAAAGATATGTACAGTTTAAGAATTAACCAAAAAAGATTGTTCACTTTAGTAGATTTTCATAATATGCTTTTTTATTTTGTTAAAAAAATTTCTTATCAGGAAACAAATCAAGTCGAGAGGGGACTTTTAGATGTTATTGCAAATGACAGAAATTGTGATAATCTTCCATTAGTAATGCCAAACTTATGTATTTGCAGCAACTTTTATACTGAGATTAAAAATGAAAGTAGTTTAATAGGTTATTTAGAATTTGCGTTAGGACAATTAAATAATATGATATCAAACTCATCAAAAGCATATGCTTGTAAGCGTTTTGTTCCACTTTGGTTTGAAAATGTTAGAAAAAAGAAAGATGGAGACTTCATCAAAACCTCTTTTGACATTTATATTTCACCTGGTTTAGGATCATCAAATAGCATAGAAAAAGTAAATGTTCTTATTAATTCAGTAGAAAGTGAATCCGTTGAAAACTTTTCTATGGAGTTAATTGGTTGGGACAGAATAACTAAGTTCGCTGCCTATGACAAATGCAGTGATGCATTTTCGCATTTTAGATTATGTATTTGTGATTTGACCCCTACTCATATTGAGTTAGCGTCAGTTACTATTCACTATTTGAAAACTCGCAACTTTCAAACATTTTACAACAGCTCGAGAACTTCGACAACATTTAACCTGGAGTCGTACTTAAGTCAAGAAGATATTTCAGTATTGGAAGAAGAAAGTTTATTATTGATTACACGAACAATAAAGGATTACGATGAGGAAGACAATTTAATTTTAGTCTCGGTTACATTTGAAGCAGTATCACTTTCAACTAAAGTTTACTTCGTAGAAGTGGTTGTTGATAACGTTGAAAATCTAAAAAAATCTGTTAATTCAACTTGTCACGGCGAACTAAAGGCTAATTCAATCATTTACTTATGTACATATTCAAGAATAGTAAGTAATGAAGATGCTTCCTTGGATTATGTGGCAAATTTTGAAGAACTATAGTGCTAATATAATTTTTTATTTAGTTAACTATAAATGTTTATATTATGTTTCAATTACTGCAATTTTTTAGTATGTGTGACTGAACCAGTGATTTTAAATGCTTATTTTTTATAAACTGTGATTAATTTGAAAAATAAGTTATATAATCTTATTGTGCTGGTTACTAACTATAGCTGGGTTTTTAATAGCAGTTTCATAAAATGAATCATAAATTTTGCTGCTCTATGGATTTGCAAAAAGATTAACAACTGCACAGACGGATCATAACTTGACTACAAAATCTGTTGTAAATAAATCTAGTAAACATGTTTTCAAATAATAAATGGTTACCAACTACTTTATTTAATAAAAAGGTTTGGAATAAGAAACAGAATGTGTTAATGTAAATAATATTAAATAAAAAAATAAATATTTCCAAAGTTAAAAACAATCTGAGAATGACTCCGCAAAATTTGCAATGTCATTTTTTGATGAAAGCTGAAATAAAATAACTTTGCTGTATTTAAATTTTCTTTTCTAAAAAGAGTTCCACAATTTTTTTTGTAAAAAGTATTGTATAAAATATCAATTTCAACGACTTGATATTTAATACAATACTTTTTACATTTTAAATCACATGCTTTGTTAGATAAACTTAAGTCACATTAAATATTTATATAAAAAAACCTTTTATTTAAATCACACCCTGAAAATGTGGGGTTTATTTGCATGAAAAAAGCTGACCGTGAAATGACAGAGTCCTACAGGAAAAAGATTTTGGAAGCTTTTTCAAAAAATATCAACTTTGACGATAACAAAGTTGATATTTTTATATAGTTCCTATAGGAATTTGCATGGCTTATCGTTTATTTAAATAAAGATTTTATTTTATTTAAATAAAGTTTAGATAAATCAATCAGGTGACAAAGAGTTAGTGCAAAATCTGCCAAAACTTTTCAATTTTGAATTTATTCACGTCACAAATTTGACAAACAAGTACTTGTAACTGCTTAATTTGTCAAATTGCAAAAACAAAAGGAAATCATGCATTGCGAAAAAAAAAAAAGCCAAATAAAAGCAGCCATTGGAAAAGTAAAAACAAGAAGAAACAAGCAATCATCAAGCGCAAACAACAAAGAAAAGTTCTGCAAGGTTCCTTTCGGTAGTTGCTTGCGGTCTACCTCATCATTGTACTCAAGGAACTTGACGTCAAAACCTCAGAACATTAGTAATTACAGATACTAATGGAACTTAGCAGATAACGTCATCAGTGATTTCCTCTAAAGATTTATCACCAATAGAAACAATTTGAATAAATCAACTTTGTGGCCCAATAATGGCTGCTAGAAAAGGAAAAACACAAAAACAATTTTCAGAATAATTGTAAAATCACATTAGTTATTGGTTAACAATTTTTAAGTTTCTCATCAACAACTCTTTCAAACGTCTTTAAGCACTCAGGAAATCGTTGTCATTCAACAAAATACAGGACTCTCAAACACAGGCATGAGGAAACTTGGATCTTCTCTGAATCAAATTAGCCCTACTCAACTGGTTGAGGCAAAATTTCAACAAAATCTTGCAGACTATAGGAAAATTTTACAAAAAATTTTACAGGGAGTACCATCAAGTTAGTTGAAACTAACAAGTGTTATCTTGTTTAATGCTATGACTTACATCAACTAAAAGAAGTCGTTGACATCTCAAAATGCCTTGATCAGGGATTCATCCTTAAACTTGGAATAGATGGCGGTGGCTCGTTTTTAAAAGTGAGTTTGGCTTTGCTTGACACAAAGCTAGATGAATCTGAATCTCTCCGTCCTATTCCAAAGTCTGTTAAGTTGTGTTCTCAAGAAGGCCTCAAAAGCACTGGTGTTAAAAAGCGATTGATTGTGGCAGTCGCACACAATTTTCCAGAAACATATGAAAATGTTTAAAAAAAGTTTGATCTCATCCAAGTAGAAAAAGCTTGCTTACTAAGCCCTTTGATTGTCTCATGTGATCTCAAATACGCAAACACCATGTGTGGAATTAAATCACATGCCAGCAAGCACCCATGTTGTTGGTGTGAATTTAAGTCAACAAAACTTTATGAGTGTTGTGAGATGAGAACGAGATAGATGAGATAGTTTGCTTTACTTTCTTTTTTTTTTTTATTTTAAAGTCGCGATATTTTTTCTAACATTAAATTATTTTAGAACACAACTGCATTTAAAAATCTTTAAAACGACAAACTACTAGCATCATGAATAATTCAATTTGTCTCATTTTGCCCCTGTCTTGTGATATCATTACCCAAATTTTAATTTATAGATTTTCATCATTTTTATGTCTTTTATTAAAGATTAACTGCGGTTGTCCCGTTTTACGTTCATTTTTTAATTTCTCTAAAAACACTTTTTTAAAAACAACTAGTTTCTTCAATACTTGTTTTTTGACAACTTGATTACTTAATGTTTGCACAACTAACAAAGGTAGATTAGTTTTTGGTTCAATTAGTTTACGTAGGAACGTTTTTAATACGTCTTTAAAATGTTTTTTAAATATGATATGGAATGGTACAGTACTTCGAATGGCTCTACGTATACTTTAAATTGTATCTTTTTAAAAGACTACAAACAACTCGTATCCAACCACACACTGGTAAATAACCCACCAATTGTCCAAAAAGTTGAAAAAATTAGTCTCTTGACTTACATTTTTGGTATTTCTTAAACTCGATTCTCCTTAAATCATATCAATTTGTCAAACACACGGACCCCATTATTGCCAATTTGTTTATCTTCTTTCCTCTTGCAACCAAACTTTTTTAAATGTCCCTTAACATAATTAAAACTCGCCACATTTTCATTAAATTAAAATATTATCCACGGAGAAGTTCCATTCATCAGCAACTCATCTTATCCAAAAACGGCGATCTTAATGAATTTCAAAACCAATAGCGCAACATTCAATCAATAAAAAAAAACAGTGTTAAACATTAAATTTTTATTTGAAATACCACAATTTGGTAGGGCCATGGCCGTAGAGAGGGGGGTCAGGGGGTATATTGTCCTGGGGCCCGGCTCTGTTTAAGGGCCCGGACTTGTGAATTATAAAGTATTATATTTGCTTTTTTAAATATACTGCATTTGGATTGGTTGTCTTAATTACTGTTTTTAACATTAGTATCACCGTTAACGTTAAATTTAAATGCAAAACATAATAAATATTTTATAAATTTTATAAGCTAAGTTATTCGGAAATAAATCAAAAAGAAAATATCTCAAGAAAAAAATTATGTTGTAAAAAATAAACTTTGAACACATTATTTGGAAGCATTTACAGTTTGTATAATTCAAGTACTTTAGATCATTTGCAGAACATTAAATCACTTGCGGTATTTTAAAATAAAAGACAAAGAATGCCAGAAAATTGTCTATTTGATTCTATAGTTTAGTTTATTTTTATGTTAAAGTTTAATCAGTTGTATATGGAGTTTTGTTACAAGGTATAAAACATTCAATTATAAAAATTGCTTTATTTAATAAATTATATGACGCTTTATTTCATTTTTGCCGTCATATAATTTAATAAATTATATGACGGCAAAAATGAAATAAATGCACTTTTTTACAATAAAATTAAGAAATTATTACTTTTTATGTCAAAATTGGTTTAATTTTTTTTTGCTCCTCAATTTTTTGGGCCTATTAAAGCCTTTGCGACAGGGGCCATTTCCGCTTTAGTCTCCCCTCACTACGCTAATGTTTAGGAGTGTTTGTAGCACATATTGCTTTATAATACATACCATCGATATATCAATGACATATCTTTAATATGGTATATTATATTATTTAGAGAATGTTTTATTTACCGGAATGATAGTTAATGCCCATTTATATAAAATCTTATTTAGCAGTCAAATAAAAAATGAACTACCATCACAATTCAGGATCTCAAAAAAGGAAAGAAAAATTGTCGAGATTGAAAAATGTAAATGAAAAACAATCTCTACTTCAAAGTTATGGATTTTCAGTGTCTTCGAAAGAGAAAGATTTAGAAAATGAATATCATAATGTAGAAGCTAATTTTAATAATAACGACAACGTTGTTCAACAAGCTGCAGATTTAAATAATGGACTGCCAACTTTCCAGATCCTGATAACATAGAAAATAAAGATGACGTGGAGCCCGGCAATCTTTTAGTTTCTATCAACAATATCTCTGAGAATTATAAATCAAATATAACTGATATAAAAATTACTAAAGCAAAACTGCTTGACTTTGATGTTGGTAGTCTAAAAAATGAAAGACCAAATGCTTCTGAAATTGAGGAAGTAGTTCGTAGGGGTCCAGAAAAGATCCCATCTCAATTTCCAAAAGATGTGAACGGACATTCATTTCCTGTTTGTAAAATACATACAAGTATGAAAAATGGAAAATATGTTGCCCGTGATTGGCTTGTTTGGAGCAAAGTTAAACAATCGATATTTTGTTTTCCTTGTCGCCTTTTTAGCAAACTACCAACAGCAAGTCGCTCACGTTTAACAACTATATCTGGGTATTGTTTTCAAAGAAAATGGAAAAATTACATGACAAAATTCCAGAGCATCAAAACAGCAGCAACCATAAATATTGATATATTAAATGGCGCTATTGGAAAAAAGTATTGACTCTAATTCCACTGTTGATATTATGCTGTTGCAGACCATTAAGAATCAAGCATCACAGTGGAAACAGGTTCTTCGCCGAATTTTAGATGTCACATTGTTTCTAGCCGAACGAGGTTTGGGATTTAGAGGAACAGGTGATTTAGTTGGAGTTGCAGCAAATGACAATTTTTTGGGCATTTTAGAGCTCTTGAGCCATTATGATTCTGTTTTGAAAGACTATCTGAACAAAGTGATGAAGTCGCAGAAATTGAAGAGAAGACAACAAGCAATTACCTTTCACCGGAAATACAAAATGAGTTTATAGAGTGTTGTGCCAAAAAAGTATTAGACGTTATTCTAAGTGAACAAGAAGCAGCAAAATATTACTCAATACTTGTTGATATAACCCCTGATTCAGCATATATGGAACAAACTGTATTTATATTGCGTTATGTTTATTTAAATGAAGAAAATAATTTCTACGAAGTTCAACAGCGATTTCTAGAGTTTGTTGACTGCAATCAGAAAACGGGAAAAACTATTGCTGAATTAATTTGCAGTGTTATTAAAAAACACAATATACCAATGATAGACTGTCGTGGTCAAGGTTATGACAACGGTAACAACATGAGCGGTCGATATAAAGGAGCACAAGCAGAGATAATTAAAGAGAACCAATTGGCAATCTATTCTCCATGTGCTTGTCATAGCTTAAATCTATGTGGTGTCCATGCCGCAGAGTGCTGTGCAGAGGTTATAAACTTCTTCGGTGTTGTGCAAAAAACTTATAACTTGTTCAGCTCTAGCCCGCAAATATGGCAAATTTTAAAAGAAAACATTGGATGCTCTTTGCATAGCATGTCAGATACACGTTGGTCAGCCAGGATTGAAAGTGTAAAACCTTTTGTAGAACATATTCCTGGTTTAAGGAGTGCTATCCAAGACTTAAAGAAGCTAAATCTTACTGCCGAGTCTCGATCAGATATCAAACGTATTGAGAAATACTTGGGTTTATTTGAGTGCATTATACTCGCAAGTACTTGGTTTAAAGTTCTAACAAGCATCAATTACAGAAACACAGTTTTGCAAGCCAGAGATGCAACTTTAAATGTGGAGGTTTTAAATTTAAAAAGCTTAATTGATGACCTCTTATTATTGAGAAACAACTGGGATTTAATTTTAAATGAATGTAAACTTGTTGCCGAAAATCTGGGTATGGTTTCCAATGACATATTCCCGGAGAAAAAACGCAGCTGAAAAGCTAGATTTTTAGATGAGAAACAGAATAATAAATTAGGCAACACCAGTGCAGAATTTTGTTTCAAGCGCGATGTTTTTTATGTTCTTTTAGACTGTGTCATTGGTAATATGAATTGGCGTTTTGAGGCAGTCAAAGATCTTGAGGAAACATTTGGTGTTGTATGGAAATACATGACATTAGATAAAGATCTGCTGCGTGAGAAAGCTTCATCTATTTGCGTTAAATACAGCATTGATGTTTCTCTCGATTTAATAGACGAAATAGAACATTTAAAGGCAATTCATGCATCAAATCTTAGCATAATACAATTATCGCTGTTTCAATTATTGAACAAACTCCGTGAATTGAAGCTTGATTCTCTTTTCCCAAACATTTTAGTTGTTCTTATAATTTTTTGTACACTTCCAGTTACTGTTGCACAAGCAGAACGCTCTTTCAGCACGCTTGCAAGAGTTAAAAATGTTTTACGTTCTACGATGTATCAAGATCGACTTTCTAATTTGGGAAGACTAGCGATTGAGGCGCCACTTGCAAGGAAACTAGACTTTGATGCAGTTATCGAACTTTTTGCTAGCAAAAAATCTCGCAAAGCTTATTTTGGTTAATTGCAGTACAATTAAATACAATTATTCATTTTGAGCACTTAGAATTTAAAATATTCTTTTTTTTAAAAGAAAATCAAAGAATATACTTGTTTGTCTATAAAACTCTCTTTGAAAATTAGAGTCTTATTAATACTTTTTATTTTAATTTACATTCTCTTCTGAGAGAGGGTTGTACCACAATTAACAACAAAAAATAAAAACACAAAAAAATGAATGGCCTCCTCGACTATAGTGAACCCTCGGCCTTGGGAAGATGAATAATGTAAAGAAAAAAAAATTAAAAAAAAATGCAACTTGTTAAAAAAATGAAAGGATTCGTTGACCAACCTAACTAATTAAAGACACATCTAGTCCTAGACTTTAAGATTGATTTTGATTTAAGTTCGACTAAAGACACGTCATAGACTTTAAGTTTAATGTTTTCAATATGAATATGCATATTATTGTAAAATAAAGGGGGCCCACCAAAAAATTTACCTCGGGGCCCGGCTTGGCTCTCTACGGCCCTGGGTAGGGCCATAGGTATTCATTTTTCTACTGGAGAAAAGTCTTGTGTAGATTTATGATTACTGGTTTAAAATCTTGTGTAGATTTATGATTACTCATTAACTGTTTCTGCTAGATGCAATACTGAGTTTTCATCAAATTTGCTTTATCATATTTTTGTATCTTGTAATAAAACCCTACATACTGAGCAACTTTGTTGAAAAGTCTGTTGGGTTTTTCTCCAACTCTCTATTTCTGTTCAACACCACCAAATCTACTTCGTGATCTTACTTTATAATTTTATTTTTGTTACTTTCATCTTTATTTAATACTGCTAATGCGCAATTACAACTCCCATCCCTCCTCCCAACAAATTAAAGAAACTCATTGTTTGGTATTAATATGAGCATCATATTAATACCAAACAATCAATAATTCACCCAAATAGTTTAGTCGCATACTTTGAATCATCAAACTTGGCAGTCACAGTTGTGGTTCAATATATTGATAAACTTTTTCTTCAAAAGTCACCACCTTTGAAGGGTTTAAACTTTTATTTTAAGTTCTGGTAAATAATTGTCAAATAGTTTAGTCGCATACTTTGATATCATCAAACTTGGCAGTCACAGTTGTGGTTCAATTTATTAAGAAACTTTTTCTTCAAAAGTCACCACTTTTGAAGAGTTTAAACTTTTATTTTAAGCTCTGGTAAATAATTGTCACCCATTTTGTCCACCATATTGTCCGTCAATTCAGTCCACCATTTTGTCCACCTATTGTCAACCATATATATTGCTACCATAAGTAATGTGCTACTCCACTATTTTTCAAAAGCGAGGACGCGCAAATTCCTCGCTCCTGTAGTATAGGCTATACTATATTTTCGGCATCTTTAGACATCTTGAAGCTATATGTCCTTTTTCACCGCATTTAAAACACCAAAAAATTTACTTTTGAAGACAGTTCTTGGCAATGTGGTAAAACTCTATGCAATTGCAAAACACTAAAGGAACTTTTGTAACATTATATTGACACACAACCTCAATAGCAATTTTGTCATCTATTCTCATGCTGTTTAAAGAAGCTCTTACTTTGACTAACATGGTATCAATTTATTCCTTTACTGTTCGAATTCTCAATGATATAACCTTGGGTAACCTCACAAGAAACGCCAAATGCACTGACTTTTCTGACAATTTAGTAAATAAGCCAATTGTTTTAAGTCAGCAAAAAATTCATTAAATTTTTAACCGTCGCGAAACTTTCGTTTTGCGAAAAGCTCTTACAGTGCTAAGTACTATAAGCAAAAAATACTTTTTTACTAAGGGTGGAAGGGCACTGTATTAAAACGGGTGTTATTTTGCACAAAATAACACAATTTGTTCCGGCTGGAGTAACATATTATTTCAGATAGAATAACATAGTTTTATTACGGGTGCAAAAACAAAGTGAAAAGACGAAATTTAAGTTGTAATTACTAATTTATTTTCAAATGCAATTTTTAACAAAACTACTGTAAACAAAACGTAAATAAATAAGACTTAAGCAAAAATAAAACATTAAATTTTACATACAAAATATATAACATAAAGGATATGTGTATTTTGATATTTTTTCATAAATACTTCGAGTGGTATTAAATTTTTATATTATCGAATTAAACGGTAATCTTCAACTTCTATATTCGGTGAAATGGAAGATTCCCTCAATTGATAAACCAAGACAAGAAATGAATCCGAATGCCTTAAAGAAAACAGATTTTCAATTTTACACTGATTATGGAGTTTTGAGGTTTTAAAATTTTATATAAATAATTACGACATTTTGTTATGATTATTTTGTATAATAAAAAGTATAGGGAACATTAAAACAAATTGGATTTTACTTAAAACAAAAAAAGAAGAAAATAGACAAAATGATAGGGACCAGAAATAAGGACCAGACTTTTTTAAAATTTTGTGGAAAAACAAGTTTTATTTAAAAAGTGGTGGTTCCATTCATTTATTTAAAAAGTGGTGGTTCCATTCATTTATTTAAAAAGTGGTGGTTCCATTCATTTATTTAAAAAGTGGTGGTTCCATTCATTTAGGAAATCAAATATTTTAAAATAATTAAGTTTCGAATCTCCAGAGAATAATATACAAAATTGATTAGTTTTCTGTAATATTTGTATAACACGGTATAATTTTTGTATTTAGTAATTTGAAACAGATTACACATATTTTTTGAGCCAGAATTATAAGATTTAATTCAAGATAATTTGAGGACGCTTGTTTAGCACTGGCCCATTCGCTAAACATTGTCTAGATTTATACAAATATCACAAAAAAAGTTCCAAAGATTAAAAACCAAATTTTAAAATATTAAACTAAATTACTTTAAAATTGTTCTAGAAAAATTTTTAAAACTTGACTAAATGTTTGCACGGCCGACGACACCGGGGGGGGGGAGGGCAGGGGCACGTGCCCACTTTTTTTTTGTTAAGAAAAGATTTTTTAAAGAAATTTTTTTGAAGATATAGACGACTTTTTTCACAAATTGATGATTGTGCCCCCCCCATCCGTTTCTAAACCCGTGTCGTCGGCCCTGGTTTGTCCTCAGAATTGAGTTTAAATAGTTCAACAAGCAATTTAAAAATACTTTGAATACTGAAAAATGAATAAAATTTATGTTAAAATAATATTTGTTTAATAAAAAGCATTTTTACCGACGATGCTGCTAATCCAGGTTCATGATGTTTTCTTGCATTGATGGCGATAATTATTGAAGATATCATTATAAGAATGACCCAGAAGATGCAATGAGCTAAAAGCTTTAAAATATACAAATGCGATTTAATGTTAGCAGTTTGTCAGCAAACGCTAACATAACTCAAATATAAGTTATATATTAATTTTGATTACTGTTAATAACCCAACCCAACAAAAAATACCATCTCACCTAAATCGTTTTTGCCCAAAATACAAATAAAAATTTTAGGAAGTATTTTTATAAAGCATTTTTATAAATTCTAGTGCCGGAAGTGTCGTGATACATGTTGGGTCTGCTAATGTAGACTGCACTCAAAGTAATTAGCAACCAATTTTTTCAACTTTTTTTCTATTTTTTTTAATTTCAATTACTGAATGAAGCTTTTTTAGAAAAAAAATTAAAAAACAAAAATAAAAAAAATAACAAATAATTTAAGAGAATTGTATTCGAGTAGTATTACAAAAGCAAAAGATTCATAAAATAATGTTACCTAGGTTACCTTTTAAGGTTACCTTAAAATGAACGATGTTAGCATGAATCGGTATTTTCATGTAAAAATGAGGCTTTTTCAAAATATTAGTACCTTTTTAATAGTTACTAATGAAACAATAAAGTGTTCGTTTTTTCCGTGTCTTATTATAAAAAAAGATATTGAATTCATACCACGGTTTTGCGCTGTTTTAAAAAGTGAACTCATACCACAGTAAGTGAACTAATACCACAGTAAGTGAACTTTCTTATATTGAGGACGACCAAGTTACAACCAATTTTTTTGGTATTAATCTTTTATAATAACCGTAAACAAGCAAAAAATTTTTGAGAACTTACTTTCAAAGATTATGAGGAAGAAGTCAAATAAAAAGAAGTTACATCTTGTTACTCATTACCAAGTTAATACGTGTCGATTAATCAATTGATTTATAAAATAGGAAATCCTTCAGAAACGAAAAATAAGACCAAATTTTACAAAAATTACACATTTTTGTTTCACTGACAGAAAAATTATTTTAAGGTCGAAAAATTTTGAAAGCGCTAACTAAACCATTTAACTGAAACATACAGTGTCCGAAATATAATTTGAAGACTGTTACAATTTCAGGACTTCTGTGCTTTCAGCAGTAACTATGTTTTTTAGTTTTCAAAATAATAATAAAAAATAGAATTGAGTGGGTCAGAAGCCAAGGGGTACAAGTGACATTTTCATAGTTTTGAGATACAGCTGTTTAAAGTTAAAGTATTTTTGTTAAATATACTCAGCTGTTGTTATGTTTTTCCAGTAGAAAGCAGCACAGAGCAGAGATTCACTTGTATCCCTTGGCCACCAACAATTTTGTTTGCTTCTTCTATCAAATTCTATACTTAACTTAATTTTGGTAATATTGTCACTTGTATCCCTTGGCTTCTGACCCACTCAATTAAATCTGCTCAGACAATTGAATTTTAATTATAGGAGAAGATTATTTTAGAGCGATGAATCAAAGTACAACTCAATTATTTTTAAAATTTGAAGGTGCGTAGACCTAAAGTTAAACGTTGGGATCTTAAATAAACAAGAGGAATGGTCAAACATAGAAAAGGTGCAATCTGTTATTTTCTCCTACCAATGACCTACTTATCGAACAAATAGCATTAAGGACCAAATATGCTATTCGTGATATTCTTAAAGTAAAGATTTATCATGGTGATCATTGTATGCTGTCTCTTGTATGGATGTTTCAACAAAACAACGAGCCGAAACACAAGTCTAAAACTAATTAAACAATTGTTTGAAACAAAACAAATCAAAGAAATGGAGAGACCACCTCATTGACTTGATCTAAATCGGATTGAAAATTTATTGCATCAAGTTGATCTTTCTCTAAAGAAATAAAAGACTTTAAAAATTGCCAATAAGTTATATAAAGCAATTGAAGCAATATGAAATGAGATTATTTATGAAAAAAGTTATTAACTCGTTTTGTCTATGCAAAAAGATGCTCTATGGTTGTAATAGTTTACGGAAATAGCTTCAATTAATGATATATATATATATATATATATATATATATATATATACATACATATATATATATTAGCTATAAAAAACTTGCAAACTTTTTGGAAGGACCATAATTTCTTATCTAAATACTGATAAACGCAAAACAACATGTTCATTCATTTTCAGGTATTACAAATGTATAAACTTTTACCTTAGATGAAATAATTAAAATTTACGAGTCTTTACCTTCGATGAAATACAAACATTTTGATTCTGTTTAAAAAGTTGTTTTTGAGAAAACTCTGTATTGCGTAATTAAAGTTAAAACTAAAGAACTTTTTATTTGGTTTCTTATATTTTGAAGAACATTGTATTATGCAAAATCTGTATCTCTAAGAAATCATCGTTTTTTTTATGGGCTATTGTTTCCGACCCAGTTATATTTCTGTCCGACTCACGCTTTAAACATTTATGTCATTTATGTATTCATTTTTCATGCTTGTTATTGTTCTTTGGATAAAAATTTATTCATTGCTCTACTATCCATTTCACAAATAAAATACAAAAACTTTGTTAGCACCTTTGTTTACAAACGAGGCAACTTAATCTCAATATGGCATTCAATCGTTAACTGTATAATAATTTGTAAAATGTCTAAAAATGAGTTTAGTTTATAACGACCAGGTAAAGGTGAGAGTAATTGTGGGTGAGTAATAAAAGATCAATTTCTCTTGCTGCTATAAAAACTTAGTAAACGCTCAGATTCTAAATTTAGAAAGTAATTGTGCTTTTTTTTAATTCAAACTCAAATTTCTCACTGAAATTTAGATTTCACTCAGTATGCTGTTTAGAGTTACTTCAACAATTTATTTTTGAGTGTTGTTAACGTCGCATAACCTGCAACGTTAACGTCGCATAACCTGCAACGTTAACGTCGCATAACCTGCAACGTTAACGTCGCATAACCTGCAACGTTAACGTCGCATAACCTGCAACATAACCTGTAACATAACCTGCAACATAACCTGTAACCTAATGCCTAACAAACTAAGTATAAGTTATACATTTAAAATTAAAATCAAAATGTTCAGTTTTTTACTACGCATAAATTGTAATGTTACGAAAAATAAAATTACATAAATACGGTTGTCTAACTGGAAACATTTTTGTATAATCATTATACAAAACGATGGCGCTTATATTGTTTTTACACAACTTGTATTATACAAGTTGTGTAACGTTAAGGTCGTTTAGTGGTATGGGACGAATCGTATTTTTTTTTTTTTTTTTTTTTTTTTTTAGTATTGTATTTGCCGATTGAAAATAATTTACACTCGTAATTTATAAAAACAAATATTTACATGACTGGGGCTTGAAGAAGACAAAATTCATCTTATCATTAAGCCCCCCCCCCCAAAAAAAATGCATATTCATCAAATAAAATATTTTAACAAAATGTAAAAAATAAAATATATAACGTTTAAAATATTTAGTAATTCAAAGAGTATTTTTTATATATTTAAGAACTGATTAGTAAAATAAGATGATATATAAGTATTAATATTACAAAAAGAATTTACAATAACTTTTTTTAATAAAAATTGAAATTATAAAATTTTACAATATTTTTAGTAATTAGTATTTCAAATAATAAAACTTAAAAAATCGTTTGTAAATTCAAAACTTATAAGATAAGAAATACATTTACAATAGCAGACTATTGTTTAGAATATTAAATATAATATTAAAGAGTAATTAGTAGGTTAATTTTTGTTTTTGTTTGCTAGTTTAAAAAACTTTTTAGAAGAACTTTAATTCATTTTCATGTATCATCAGTAACTGCTTAAGTTTTGTTTTAAACTGGTTTAAAGAATAATTAGATTTCAGCTCATTATTTAATATTGTATTCCACAGCTTAGGACCTCGATTTGCAATTGAGAATTTGGTTGCTGAATAATGTGTTTTGGATTGAATGTAATTGTTTTTTGAAAATCTGGTAGTGTATATGTGGTTTATTTTTTCAAAAAGTGAATTAAATAACATTGGTGATATTTTTTTATCAAGTTTAAACATGAAGATAAGAATATGGTAAAGGTTTAGTTTATATACATTTAGAATATTAAGTTTATTAAATAATGTTTTAGTGTGAGAGAAACGGTCTACGTTTGTAATTATCCTTATAGCCTGTTTTTGTTTACTAAACAGTTTTTTTACTTTTGTTGCGTTTGTGCTGCACCAAGCAACGTTTGCATAATTTAAGTATTTTATAAGTATATAATTCGCGATTGAAATTTTTAAAAATGCCATTCAGTTTTTTTAATAATAAAACCATATCTTGAACTATGAAGATTTTTGCATGAGTTTTTTTGAACAAACCTTTTAATCGCATTTCAGGTAGTTATGCACTACGTTGTAGCCAATGATCTCAAAATATAATTACTCTTTGAGATCAGTGGTTGCTATATAATATATTTAACTGAACGAACCAAAAATAAACCAACTTGAATTAAATTAGATGTGCACGCCTATCAAAACTTTTCACAGTGCGATTCATAATGATTTTTGAAACGTTGTGCTTTTTTTTTGAAGCATGTTTTTGTTTTTAGTTCAAATTGAGTTTTTAAATCACATTTTCTTTCAATTAAAAATGCAAATAATTTTTTTTTAATGTTACACTCACATTTTGAAGCGTGTGAATAAGCACGCAAGTTATTAATAGTGCCTAGTCTCTTTTCTTTGTCATAGTTAAGAAGGTTAAGTAAGAATATTAAAATAATTTTCTTAATTATAATTCTTAGTTATTATACAATAAGTTTTTATTTATCAGTAGTTGTTGCCTCTAAACATAAGTAATTTCTCTTAAAAATTTCAGAACCATACACGAGCCTACTATATTCATGGCCGTATGACTTGCATTTTTGAGGGGGAAATTAAGAGGCCGGTTTTGAAAATTTTAGACATAAAATAAGCTAAAATGTTATTTTCAAAAACATCCTTTTTTCTGAATTTACTAACTTTTAAAGAATTTATATTAAAAATGGTCAAAAAATGCGCTGCACCAAAATGTACATCATGATACTTAA